TTTAAAAAAAAAAGTCATATCCAGCGCCTTGAATTCACAACTGATATCAATTATCAAAATCCACTTATCGAGAAAAACAACTAAATCAAGCTAAACTAATTAAATCAAGATTTATCAGGACAACGCAGAACAAAAAAAAAAAAAAACTATCGCTTGGGATTTGGAATTCAACATCATTTCAATGAAAAACGCAATTTTTTTAGAGAATGATTATCCTCCGCATCATGAAATCTGGAAGAGACTTCTAGCCAAAAGTAGGAAGGAAGAAAACGAACAAAATACAACTTGCACGGAGCGAGAGTAATAGGTTTTAGTCCTCCACTCCCATCGCTTCGAAGTTTTTCTTATGGACCTATAATTAGTAATTATGGTCACCTAAAGTCAATGCAAAAACCTTGAATCGAAAAGGCACCGGCGATGGTCCAGAATAAGCCGCACCAACCACCCGTAGGACTCACTTTTTGTAACCCATATTCTGTGATCTATTTTCCCCGTTTGACTATAAAAGTCAGCATATTGGAAAGGAAATTTAAAAATTCTTTACAAGTTTTCGTGGTGCATTCATGATTCTGTAACACTGCTGATCATGATTAATGATAGTCAGTCTAATTCCAGTTGGAGCCATTTCTAATATTATAGTGGTTACTACGGATGAGCTGAGAGAAGATGGGCAATTCTGTCAAATGGGGACGTTGAGCAATGCTAATAAACATGCAAGCGAGGCAAAATGCAATCGCAACGACCAAGTGGTCCGGGAAGGGTTTTTTAAGGTCTTTTTTGCTACGAGGCTTAGGGGCAAGCATAATGTAAAATGGCCAAATTAGGGTTCAAATATTATGCATGATAGTTGAAAGTGAGAAGGCAAAAAAAAAAAAAAAAAGAAAGGCAAAACATAAAATTAGCGTATTTGACTCAAATATTTTGAGAAAATAAACTCAAAATGGAAAAAAGGGAAAACACAAGATTAGCGTGTTTGACTCAAATATTTTAAGAAAATAAACACAAAATGGAAACATATCTGACGCAAAACAACTAAAACCAAAGATGTAATATGGAAAACCAAAGATGCAAGGCACTTATGTCATCAACTGTCTCATTTTCTCGTAAAAAAGTCACGTTCGAATTCTATTGTTAATACGAGAATTATATTGATAGATAATCTGTAACAGTCTTTGTAAGTGACCTATGGTGGTGATTGGAGCCAAGACGATCCAAAATGTCTTGACCTGTGATGGTGATCGAAATCGAACCTATCCAAAAGGTTTTCTAAAATAAAAGGACTGGCTGTAGCAGCTAAATAGGACGCCAATTGTAACTGTAAACCACTAGTTTTATCAGCTTTCAAAGCGTAACTTACCTTTGATTGAGGTGCAAAAGATTGTAAGCGTGGAGTTGATGATATATGGTTGATTTCCAAAATGGCGGGACCACCAGGAAGCCCCCCAAGTGGTCTGGCCGTGGCTCATCACATTGGGAAGGAGGCAGTGCATGTGCTGGAATGATTTCGTGTATTTCAACAAAATGTGAATTTATTTATTCAGAATGTTTGTAAACTAATTTGGGGCACAAATGAAAATTTATATACAATACTTTCTTGTAAACCCCAAATAATGGAGTCCATTTTATGATCTGATCCGTACAGTCTTTAGCATGGACCGTTCATTAGCGGCTCTAAATGATGGATAACGTAGAAATTCATCGTAGTAGTACTCCATTTCTTAAGCATTAATTAGCGACAGATACAAGTCATTTTTCTGGGCTCAAACTGGCCTTTCCATGATCCCGCGGTCACCAATATTAATATCGCGAGGAGCAGACTGGCTCCTGACTGGAAGAACGTCGCAAGGAATATCATCATTCCTATCAGTCACACGAATCAATCAATCTTAAATGTTTTTGGTATGTCGGTCGGGCTAATCAATTGTGTTTTTCTAAAAGGAATTGTACCTATCCAGTGGGAACAATTTGCATTAAGCACTTTGCATCGCATCAGGTTAAGCTAACTAATTAAGGAAGAAGCGGGATGAGAGATATTTTATACCAGAAATTGATTGTTTGTTAGCACCTTTTAAGTTTTGAGCATTTCACCCTTTATCTATCTTCCACGAGAAGCTTCACGGTTTTGCCTGGATCGTTCTAGGTGCGATGAATAGTTGAAAAGAAATGCGTCATGAAGAGAGGCGAAATTGGAAAAGTCCTTAGATTTGCTTTATTCGGTTACTGGTTTTTGAATAGATTATTTGGGATAAATTTTTGAAAAAAAAAAAGGATATTGTAGTATGAAATAAAAATATTGTTGAAAAATATGTTGATGATATAAACAAATAAAAAATATGCAAATAAACTACAATCCAATGTTCGCTCTTAAGGTGTTGACTTGGAGTAAATGGATCAAGTAATTGCCCTTGCCCTAATGTCTACTCTTAAAGTTTATGGTGTTCATTTGCCGCTATGCTCTAATTGAAATCAAAATTTGTGTCTACGTGGTTCTGATATTCTAAAAGTCAAAATTGATATAATAGGTTTTTTTTTTTTTGGAAATTTATTTGATGTAGTAGTTACAGTGTCAAACGCGTATGCTAAGAGCTGCATTTGATAAAACTGAAATCTGAATCTATTAAATTATTCAATTGTTAAGTATTAAATCTAATACATTTGAATGTATATCACATTTAGTTATAAGTGAATAGTTTATCGTTTATTTTTTGGAGCAATTTTTGTCTAGGAAATTCAATGCCACTTAATTATTTCAAATATTCAATTTTTGATTATCAAATGCGTGGAACATATTAAGATTTAAATCCATTAAATTTAAGTGCTAAATTAGATTATCAAACATGGCCTAAGTTACTCTCAACTTCGAAGAGCCTTTTTTTTTTTTTTTTTTTTGGAAGTTGATTAAACTTGAAATGCATGTATAGGTCAGGTTCTTGCCAACACGTCCTCTTTAGCAGAACCGATACGTTTGATGAATTTGGCCCAAAAAATCTTGGACAAATCATTGTTGCGCTGTATGCAGCATTAACTATCTCGAACGGGGTTGCGAAACTGCGATCTATGGTATACCCAAACGGGCCCTACTTTTATTCTTTCGTGAATGGATCCACATTGGAATCTCGTGGACAATCAAAAGAGAGGTGCAAATGGGACTCTGGAGCCCAACCAAATCCGTGTAACATGGTCTGATTTATAATTTGTAAGGCAAAAAAAAAAAAAAAATCAAATTTTAAAGCTAGCCAATTGTTGGTTAAAAAAAAAAAAGGTTTAAAGTACACGGTGAATTTTTAACAGTAGCAATCCAATCCATTGATGCAAGATTTGGTAGCATAATTGCATTATGCTAAGCTTCACATTGATGCTTACTTGAGATTAAGTGGCATGGACACGTGTTCAAATCTTCCTCCCTCTTCTTGTTTATTAAATGCATCGAAATCAAATTCAGCGGAGAAAGGGATTGGAAGGGGGGATGGAAATGCATCAAAATCAAATTCATGCGATGAATCTTCGTAGCAATTTCGGTGCAATTATTGATGACTGGGAGGGTAAATTCGAAAGGAAGTACAGGCGTTTTGAGTTTGCAGTAAAAGGAAATTCAATATCACATTCACCTGTCCACAAGAAATAAATGACCACATGACCTGGGGCTGGGATGGAAGTTTGGGCGGGGAACTGGCTCTCAAAGTCTTTAATTGAGTCCTTCATAAGGAAAGAAATGCGTGGGAAAACTCTTGAGCCGTGTGCTCCTCTAATTTGCGTAACAATTTCCAGTCTCCCATTCCATACGAAGCGCATGATTGGTTTGGTAGGTGCTTTTACCGTTCCACACTCAATAGTATATTTTTCCCCCTCCGGTACCTATTTCACGGAAATTGTATTGCATTGTAACCTCGTGTCCTTGGGCAGACGTTGGCTTATGGGGAATTAATCTTCTTTGTAATGCACCGGCAACTTCTTCGATGTCACCACCAAAAACTACTTTATCTAGTACTATCTCTTTTTTTGCCTATGTACTGTGATATTTTTGAATAGAAGCAAATAAAACTGAAAACGTGACAGACAAAAGAGAAGAAAAGAAACATGTATGTATCTTGTAAAAAGAGACAAAACCCAGTCTACTGCTGAGTTATAGCGATTTTAACAACAACAAACGACATTTTGATCTTATTCGCGGCCAGTTTTTGTTTTTGTGCTCTCTACAGATCACTTCACACTTGAAAAAAAAAAAAGTTTTGGTTTGTTTGGATCGCCTTGATTTCAAATAAAATAATTTGCTTCACAAATTTCAATCACTTTTTTATTTTTTTAATTATTATTTTTTTATCTCATATGCACCACATCACAAAAAGAATTCGTAACACCGGCCCGCAGTTGACTCCATTTGGTAATCACTTTGGTCAGCTGCTGTTCCTGGTTGTACGGTGAGGATTTCTCTTGGATGATATTTGATCTTTGTATTTAAAAATGAAAAAAAAAAAGGGACTTCAATTGTAATTTTCATGTGCTTTCTCCTATCTTGCTTGCCTGGTCGGCAGTAGTCACCAAAGAAACTCTTCCATAATTGTACCATGGACAGTCCAAAAATTCTCTGCTTTTTTTTTTTTTTTCTCTAATTGCTATTTTTTGCTGTATTTCCTACTATCTAAGTTTAGGAAAAAAAAAAAAGTCAAATTCCCGTCCAATGTCACTCTCAATTCTGCATCCTAATGAAGGACAGCTGTCAAAAAAAAATTTGCAGAAAAAATTTTGGATGCTATAACCCATATTTACTACTGCTGACTAAGCAACTAAGCAGATGCCATCGTTGCCAGAAAAAGAAAAAAAAAAAAGACTAAGCAACTAAATCTCTTTTCTCAAAAACTAAATAACCTCAGCACAAAAGATATACTACTATTAAACACCGCTCGAAAGAATAATTATTAAACACTGCAAGAATTAATTAAAAAAGATAACCTCAGCAAGAATTAATAATAAAAAAAGAATAGTAATTATCAAACACCGCTTGCATAAATTAGTCTCAACTCCAATGTGAGATACAAAAACCCAAAATTCGCAGTAGAACTCTGCAACTGAGAATTTCGACCAGCCTCTTCGCCCTGATCACATGCCTTCTGCTAGTATTATTCAAACAAACCTTAATTGAGGCGAATGGGGAACAATTTGGCAACCCCGGCGAGGCCCCTGCAATCTCAAGACCCCACCAACGAAGATGAACCACCACCACCACTGCCACCCCAGCAGCTGCCCCTCTCACCACTACCACAACCACCGCCTCAACTACCACAAGAAAACCAACCTTCCACCTGCGAAATTTGCATCGAACCCATTATTTCACCAACCCAGTTATTCAAAAGCCCAAACAATGACAAATGCGGGCCCCACCCATTCTGCAAGGACTGCATGATCAGGTACATCCAAGCGAAGCTGGACGACAACGTTTCCAAAATCGCCTGCCCGGCTTTGAATTGCTCCCAGTTCCTGGATCCTCAAGCTTGCCGGACCCTTGTGGGCCCCCAACTGTTTGTGAAATGGTGCGACTCGCTCTGCGAGTCGGCGGTGATGGGTTTTCCGAGGAGTTTTTGTCCCAACAGGAATTGCTCGGCGTTGATCGTGAACGAGTGCGGCGGGACTGTGAAGAAGGCCACGTGTCCCTGTTGCAAGCGGCTCTTTTGCTTCCAGTGCAAGCTTCCGTGGCACGCTGGTTTTAGGTGTGAGGAGAGTGGGGAATTCAGGGATAGGAATGACCGTGCATTTGGGGTTCTTGTGGAGCAGAAGAATTGGATGAGGTGTCCTCAGTGTCAGCATTTTGTTGAGCTCATTGAAGGTTGTCAGATTGTTAAATGCAGGTACAATTTTTTTTTAAACACTATTTCTTTTTTTCTTTTTTTTTTAAATGAAGGATAATAATATGGTCAATTGCACAAAAGAGAGCAATTTTTAAGATTAATTGGCTGTAGCAATTAGTCTTGATTAGTAATTGTTACTTCTAATAGAGATGGTGGTGGAGGCTGGTATTTTGTGGACGATAGAAGGCTGTCTGTGTTTTGGAATATTAGGTGAGGGAAAACAGAACAAAAAAGAAAAATTTTGTATCAGCAGGGTAGGAGAGGAAGTGTATGGAATTTAATTGGGAGCTGAGCGTATGAAAGGGCTATGGATGGCTAGTCTTTCAGGATTTTGTCATGGAAGGGTAATAAATTACTGCAACAGGGTATTAGTGGATTTTGTTCTACAGCATGGCAATAGGTTGAGCTTTCAGCTTTGCTGAACCTTCCAGCTAAGACAAGGGATGCTGGGGGAGTAGGAAAGAAGGGGGAGAATTTAGTTGATTCCAAACCAAAACAAAGTTCAGTTTGTTTCCTGCGGTGTGAACAAGTTATCATAGATGTCTGTCGTGCTCGTTCTGTCTTATTGACATTTACTCAGTTTGTATGGTCTACTTGGTGGCTAAAGACAAGGGGGAAATCACATTAAATGCAACCAGAAAAAAAAAAGGGAAAGCGTATTAAATGCAAAAAATAGAGCTTTGCAAGCTTTGTATAACCAGCTAGATTGGCAATCCTCACATTTGAATCTTTGTTGTATCTATCCTCTTCAGTGAGATGACTGGAAGTATCTGATTAAAAGCAATTTAGATTACCGTTAAGAAACTGGTTTAGATGCTGATGCCATCACCTAAAGGCCAGATAATGGTGAATGTTAAAGTTAGCTAGGTAACCCAATGATGCAGATGAGATCTAATTGCATATATGCTACTTTTTGCATGTAGATGTGCTACTACATTTTGCTACAGGTGTGGAGGGAAGGTCAATCGACATTGGTGCGATTGTCAGAGACCTCGTAGGGCCTGCATATGCTTCTTTTTGATTCTCTTTTTCCTCTTAACTTTCTGGCCATTTATGTTTCTGATCATTGATACCATAAGAAATTGTACATAGGCTAAAAGGAATTTGATTGTATATTAAAGTTTAGGGATAGGGATACTTCAAATATTTCTGTACTTGGTAAGTTTCTTCATCCTGCCATCTTGATATGAGAAGTTACTTCGTATACTGGATTGCCAAGTTTAACGATGATCCGAGAATGTGTAAAGAGGCCTAACAAGTCGTTTGTGGGCTCAGCTATGCGAACTTTCCTCAAGTTCCTTGGTTACATGTTAACCTAATTTTCACTGCAGTTGCACAGTTCCATTTGATTCTAATTAACATAAGTCAATTAGTATCTTATCTTGAGAGGGAAATAGCAAAGAGGGACCGGGGAGAGGGTACTCCACTAGCATGGGACCAACATTACAGCTTAGGTAGACTCATGCTTTACCTTTAATTGCTGAATAGATGAAGAAAAGGGTAGAACAAGGATTTGAATGATGGGATCTGATTTTTTTCCGTCTGCTCTTTGATGTTGTATGTAGATGCCTTGCCTCTTTTTGCTACAAATGTGGAAGACAGGTCTATCAGCATTGGTGTACTTGCGACAGTACTTCTATGTGCTGCGTATGGTTCCTTCGAATTTTCACAGTTCTTATTGGTGTTTTCGGAGTCCTTTTCCTGTTTTGGAATACAGAAAGTCGCAAACATAATGTATAGTCTTCTAACACATCCCCCTACTCTAATTTAGAGCTGGTATAGAGAAAGTTGTCAGGCTAAATTATCCTTCTCAAACGAACATCTACATGTACATGGACATGGCTAAGTTTTGCCTTTGACAATTCAAATATGGGGACTTTGGCAGCAGTTTCATTAGTGAGATTGGCCTTTGTGTATGATTATTTCACTTAACTCTCTCCTGGTATTGAAGTGTTAGATCAGAATTTTGCTTCGTTGCTACTTCCTTTTCTGCTGCTTTCTCGTCCTACAGGTCTATCAATAGCCTAGAGTTTCATAGACTGTGTCATCAGGACATCAAAAAAACCTTCCCTTCACAGGTTATGATTACAGGTGTGCAAGGGTGCGATGTATACTTGTGCTTCTTTACAGCAAATTACAAGGAGCATATTTGGCTTGGTTTACTTTTTATTGACAAAAAAAAAAGAAAAAAGAAAAGGTTTAGTGTGATTAGCATGCTCTCATGCTCAGGGATTTTGACCTATAAATTTATAGGTGTTAAATGCAGGTACGTGAATGGGTAAAGGTTTACGTTGAAATCACTAATTTCAGTTCGAAACAAGATATTTTCTTAGACTTGTAATAGCATCCAAAGCCCATCGGGTTTGAAGAAGAAGAACTGTACCCAAATCCAAATCCTAATTGATATCCAGAGGTAATGCACTATTAAATATCATAAATTTGAAAGCTAAAAATATGCACAGACATGGAATTTAAACGGAAGGGAAATCCGATTTAATCACCATTTGCAAGTGGCAAAATTATGGTTGGAGAATGGTGCAACATGCAAGAAAGATTTATTAATTCAATGCATAAAGTGGTATCGGCCAAGTCTATTCTATCTCTATAGAGTCCAAATGAGATTCTATTCAAGCCCACAAGTCTCCCACGGTGTTTGGGTTTGGGTCAGGTGTGACACTCCGAGCCCAAATTCACAAATACGATGCCCCGCTGGTATACCCAGCCATGTAGTAGGTTTTTTGGTACCATTCCTCATAATGATTAGATGATTGATATGTAATACTCCAACCTTAAGCGTGATTAGCATTACTTCCTCATATAGATACGCAGGCATGGGCTGTCGCTTACGAGGTTACCAGTATAAGAGTAGGCGGTAGAGTGACAAGTGCCATGATTCCTCGTAGCCATCAACTACGGCTTAAACAGGACGTGCTTAGATTTAGTAACGGGTAACCCGGGACAAATCGATCGACGAGCTCCAGACTTAGTAATGAGCAACAAATGCATAGGCCCTTTACCTTTTTTCCTTTCTTTTGGAGGAGGAGTAGAAGAAGAAGAAGAAGATTGGCGCGACAACTAGTTATTATTAGAATATAAAAATCACGTTTAACTGTGTGACAGACTGTCTGTGTTAGTCATCTTAATCTTACCATTAGAGACGAGACAACAACTAAGTCTGTGTGCCGCTGCTTTATTCTTAGTCTTATGATTCTTGTCGCCAAGAGAAATTCTTTATACCATATTCCAAACAACCTGGGAACTATAAATGAGAGTAATCCACCATGAGGTTCTCTCAACTTTCACGGTCCCACCTCACCGGAAAGGCTCGACCACCCCAACCAGCAGCTCCTTTTTGCTGGCTCGCGTTCGACGATTTGTTCTTTGAGTCTGATAGAAGTTATGTCTACGATCTGAAGTAGTGCTCGTGAATTGCGGCCTATGAAGCCACTTTCTGGCTCTCCTAGTAACTAAAATAGCTGTCACCACGTCATGTGGCAGAATTGAACGTAATTAACAGGTAATGTAGAAGATGATACCGGCAGCAAGTTGTTGGATGATGAAAGTTTTTGCCAGGCAACACATAAACAGGCGTAAATGCATCCGCTTGCTGAAATGGAAGCAAAAGCATCAATTTAGGTAGGAGCACCGGAAATTTTTTTTTTTTTTTTTAAAAAAAATTGTCCATTAATTTCCGCTATACGGATAGAGTCCATCAACTATCGTACTATATGAAAATTTTAAAATCGAAAGAATAACTGGTCTTCACATGCACTAGCCAGTCATAATAAGGAACGGCCTAATAGACTACGTGGAACTTACCTATACTTAATCAACTATGACTTATCTTAATGAAGGTCACTCAAACCCCATTTGTTATTGCTCAATAAGAGAGGTTTAGATAACTGGTTTTTGCATAACTCACCGGCGAGAAGTTTTTTGTTGGGTCGAAGCAACTACTAAGCATGTCTAGTAATTGGTCTAGAATCAATCGGAAAGTTCTTTGTTGACATCAATTTTCTTCACAGGATCACATCAATTTTCATTAAATACCCAACAAATTCGAGTTGATTTGATCTTCCAACAATTCGTAAAAGTATTTTCAAACCTTGCTCTTGTTGCAATTTTTTTTTCTTCTCATTCAGAGCTAGTAAAAGCTCAATTCTTTTCCTACTATCAAATACCCTATCCAAAAAAGAGAGTTTTAACACCTTTCCAAAGAAAAAAAAGGGAATTTTAAGGACCAAACAAAGAAAAGAAAAGGAGTGAAAGTTGAAAGGGTCATCTTACGAGACGTAGTTAGTCAACTGTAGTGGATTGTGAAATTTTTAAAGTTTAAATTAGGGAATTGTGGACATTGAAAAATTTGGGGCTAAAATGAAATTTGAGAATAGTCAAAGGGTGTAAAGTGAAATTAACCTATCCTTTTAGCCAAACCTTCTTAGGACTTAGGAGTGCACCTTCGTCTTCTGTCCTATCCGCAACCGGAATACCCCGCTGGCCCCACAGGTAAAAAGGCCCTCAACCAACCCAAAAACAAAAAACCAAAGGAGGAAGCAACTACCGCTCCTCACACAAATCCAAATTCGCCACGCGTCCCATGATCATTGGTTACACGTTAACCTCCACGCCCAAGCAACCTCCACAATCGACTGGTAGATACTCATAATCTACCTGTCTCTATAGGCCGACATCTATATATAAAAAGGCGGAGGATTCGCTCGCAGAAAGCTCGAGGCATCGACAATGGCACCTCTTTCCTCTCTCCCATTATTTCTCTCTGTTTTCTTTTTAGCTGTAGCGACGGCGTCGTCCGCCATTTTTGAAGAACGTGATGACGTCGTCAGTAACGATAATCCTTTGATCCGTCAGGTAGTCGGCGACAATGATCATCTGCTCACCGCCGACCACCACTTCTCCTTATTCAAGAAGAAGTTCGGGAAATCGTACGCCTCCAAAGAGGAGCACGATTACAGGTTTGCTGTTTTCAAGGCTAACATGCGCCGAGCTTTGCGCCACCAGAAGCTCGATCCTTCCGCCGTCCACGGTGTCACCAAGTTCTCTGATTTGACTCCAGCTGAGTTCCGCCGAAACTTTCTCGGCTTGCGCCCAAGGCTTAAGTTTCCGGCTCATGCTAACAAAGCTCCCATCCTTCCGACCGATAATTTACCTACAGATTTCGATTGGAGAGAGCACGGCGCAGTCACGCCGGTGAAGAATCAGGTAGAGTTTCTACTTTCTCGCGGCTTTGAACTGTAAAATCATCAATGTGCTAATTAATTATTGGATTAGGGTTTCAAGACGTTGATAGTTGATTTTCTGATATTTACTTTTGCTCCTAATGTATTGTTTCTGGTAAATTTGTACTATTACTATAGTTGTACGTTGAAATCTGACTGGTTTTTCTTGTACTCTGTCGCTGCGCCGTTGGGTATTTTAAACTAATGATGATTCTGATGGATATTTGTTGATGACTGTAAAAAACCAGGGTTCATGTGGGTCCTGCTGGTCGTTTAGTGCGACAGGAGCTCTGGAAGGTGCAAATTTCCTGGCAACAGGGAAGCTTGTGAGCCTCAGTGAGCAACAGCTTGTGGATTGTGACCATGAGGTTCGTCTGTTCTCTTTAGAATCAAATCCCGCCTCTGCTCTTTATACTTCAAAAAAATATGTTGTAGGTTGGTTGGTAAGTTTAACTGTTTTCAAGAAGCAAAGCTATAACTCTATTCTGTTTGATTGATACATACGTTAGTGGCTTTATGCTTGCTTCTTGGGGTTTTGCTTAAGTAGCTGTACGTATAGTTTCTCCTGAAAGATATTTTAATCGAAATAAGATTCTGTATTCTGATCTGATTGAACACATTGTCCCATTGGTTTGAGGTGTTGCTGTAGATATTAGCTGAAAGAATCATTCAAATCTCTATTTCCTCGGTAAAGATCTTGGAGTAAAGTTATTATTTGGATTAATTTGGAATGCTTACAATTTGTAAATATGGGAAAGAAACGACAGAATCCTTTCTCTATAAACAAATCACATGCACGATTCAACGTATATGTCCTCGACAAAGTCCATCTCTTTCACACATCTGCAACCCCACCCCACCAAAAAGAACTATTTTCTTTAAGCAAAACAAGGAGATAGAGAATGCAACATAAATAACGTGCAATATTATAAAAAACAGCTGCTTGATTGTTTGATGTGTGTTGCTCAATTACAATATTGTGAAGAAATAACATCCAAGGAATACAATATTGCCTTCTTAATATCTTAGCTTGGTGTCATACATGTTTCCTTGTCTGTAGTGTGATCCTGAAGAACCAGACTCGTGTGATTCCGGGTGCAATGGTGGACTGATGAACAGTGCCTTCGAATACACTCTAAAAGCTGGTGGACTAATGCGAGAACAGGACTATCCCTACTCTGGTTCAGATCGTGGAACCTGCAATTTTAACAAAACTAAGATTGCAGCTAAGGTTGCCAACTTCAGTGTTGTTTCCCTTGATGAAGAACAAATTGCAGCAAATCTCGTCAAAAATGGTCCTCTTGCAGGTATTAGGCTCTTCAATTTGATCCCTTAATAGTTTAGTTATTCAGTAGTTTCTCCACCTGTTGCAGCCACTATACCTCCCTCTCTAAGCTAAGACATTAAATGATGCTCAGCTCACAGTATAAAATTTACTTTTCTCGTCTCTATGCGCTCCTTATCTCTCTTTCTCAGCACAAACGTTTTGCAGCAAAAAATGTTGATTTTCATTTCAATTTTGGAGCTTTGATTTGCTAAATGATCTCATAGACAACATAAGTTTGACAATTCTACTTCTCTTGTATGCAGTGGCTATTAATGCAGTTTTCATGCAGACATATATTGGGGGTGTTTCATGCCCATACATATGTTCTAAAAGACTAGATCACGGTGTATTATTGGTAGGCTATGGTTCATCAGGGTATGCTCCAATCCGGATGAAAGAGAAGCCATACTGGATCATTAAGAATTCCTGGGGAGAACATTGGGGGGAAAATGGTTACTACAAGATCTGCCGAGGGCACAACATTTGTGGGGTGGACTCCATGGTATCAACCGTTGCAGCAGTTCATACAAGCACTTAAAAAGAGTGGCTGTGGTGATGACGTGATTGACATCATCTCTGTATATAGTAGGAGTATGGACTGCATGAAGCTGCTCCCTGTCCGTTGATTGTTATGCCTAGTAGTTAAGGGGCCATAAGTTCACTGGCAACATTGCTTGAAAAACGGAACTTTTTCCTTCTATATTAAGTTCTGTAATCCTCGTGAAGCATAAAACTCAGCAAAATATGCGTTTAACTAATGAATTATTAATTGTTGCTCTCATAAATATGCTTTACTTCTAACGCGCAGCTATCTTTCGGATGAACACTTGATTTTTCAGATGACTGAGGGATCAGCCTAACGGCCAGTGAAGGCTCTTAAATTCTTCCCCGCTCTCAGTTTGAATGTGTGTGTGTGAAAAAAATGCGTGAGCAAGGATACGGAGGTTATAGGAACAATGAATTTTTGAGATCGCTCTAGCATTCCCTTCGACAAAACCAAGAAACATAAATAACAAGCAATTTACTTTATTGTTGCATACCGTGACCAAGAACTCAGCCATTCGAAACTACAAACGGACAACAAAGCTCAACTCAATTGGTTAAGCAACTTTACCCGGGACCTAGAGGTCATAGCGACCAAGAACCCGGCCATTCGACACCACAAACAGACAACAACGCGCATCAACTAAATTGGTTGAGCAACGTTACCGTTACCTAGAGGTCACTGCTTCGAATCACCAATAAAGTGAATGGAGTTCAGTTCCACTATTGATCCTTTTCAAAATAAATAAAAAGAAAAATAAAGCAGGAAATGAAAGAGAATATATCAGTGCCGTTTCCCAAATTGCAATCAGGATGTGCATGTCCTCTATCAGCAACCAAGAATCCAACATCGTACTAAAAAAACGGGAGAGCACAGCCTTATTTTCTTAACAACTGGCGCATACACTTGGATAAACCTAAATAAACAAATCGATAAATATTACAATGCATGTGGACATCTTATCTTTGAATAATTATACATCGTGAAGGCACCACCACCTCTAAGAACAACAGCATTCCGCATATAATAATCATTATTTGAAAAAAGACTAGAACACCAGCGAGAGAGAGAGAGCTGTAGAGGAGGTTCCTTCATTCCCAATGCCCTTTTTTATACATGTCCATCCAAGTAAAATAATTGCGGACAACTCCATGTTTTGTGCAAAACCAGATTATTTGGAGCCTTATATTCAATCCTCCTCATCATTGAGTAAGGCAAACGAGAACGGGTGGAACTTGTACCCATCGCCCTCATAAAACTTATTCTGAAACTCCACCCAATGAAGTCGCAATGCATGGAGGAAGGCACTCAATGTTTCCATCACTAACAATACTCCAACAGTTGCAAAGATGAATACTATGATTCCCACAATTAAAATGATTACATTGTTGAACCTGCAACAAACAGATGAGTTAACGGAAATTCATTCTTTGCTCTCTAAAAATGAGGTAACATCTTAATCATCTATGAGACCACCTGTCACAACTCCCAATTAAAGTCCGAAATTGTTCAAATGCGTTAAAACCACAAAAAAGTTCAAAAGAAAAGGCCCTTCTATTCCTTCCGTAATAAGGATGTAAATTTACCCATTATTCTTTAATACCATAGTAGGGCATTGTTTGAGAATTGCATTCTCTAAAATATGTACTATATCTCAATATCTCATAGGTTTTGAAGTTGCAAGAAATCTCTGTCACTGTTAAATTTATTGCTCAACTGTGTAGAATAGGGACATAAGATAGATCAACTTACCCCCAAGCTAGGAGAAGAACCTTCTCATAGAACACACTTGATAACTCCGAGTGGGCAAGGCTGAAAATGTCAAAAACACAACTGATCAGCACATAACTAAACAGATATGTGTGATGTGCCAAGAAGCACAGGAGGCATACAGTAATAGCTAGGTTCCTGAGCCAAGTAAATATGTGATTCTGAGTCAGCATACCTGAGAGCCCACAGACGAAGATAAGATGCTGTATTTGAGACAGCCCCAAGCACAAACTCTATAGTATGTATAAGCTGATGGACAAAAATTTCACTGAATTCGAATTCTCCATGGCCGTGTGAATCTTGATTTGTCTCCACCAGCAAAGACTCTTCCGTGTCTTGGAGGGGAGCATAAGAGTGACCATGGTGTCTCTGCAGCAGCAAGATTCCAAATGGTGAAAAAAAAGGAAACAAAATAGAAAACAAAACTGCAAGGCAACCAAACAATTAAGCTGGGAGGAGAAGAGCAGTGTCAGTAAGCAAAATAGCAGAACGTTAAACAAGAACATACATCGTGTTCCAACTTCAGAAGGAAAGGCTTGGGAATCAGCATCCATGGAACAGAAATAAGAGCCAGCAGCACCAGTACAATCTGGACAAGAAGCAAAAAATTAGTTAATCAGCCATAGACAGAGTATATGTTGCAAGAGTTTTTGGTATATTTGAACTAAAGACGAGAAGAAGTCATTGAAACACATAATTGTGCTAAAATGAGTACTAAACCTGAGTTGTCTTCTGGCCAGGGAAAAGCTGATTTTCACCCAGATCATCCGTAGGACCAAGGAACATGTATATCATGACATGATACAGATCAGCTTGTGAACCAGTCCACCACTTTATAATAATCAGGATGGAAAGGTAGCCAAAGAGGCCATTCAAAAATATCATCTCAGGAACAAACTGGCACCTGAAATTCCAGAGTCAGTTTGCAAGTATGGGAAAATAACAGTTATAACAAGAAGCAACTAAGCAACATTCAGGTGCTCAATGACAAGCCTAAAGATATTGGAGATGACGATATGAGGACCAACATTATCTTATAAGACTTACCATACATTAATGCTGTTCCTGAAGAATAAAGCATTGCAGAAGCTCAATATGATCCCAAGGTTCATTTGGGCCACACCAATAAGTATAGACATTTTCATCTTTAATGAATTTAGGAATGGCAATTCACTACGTGTACCATGCCATGCAGGATCCACACCAAATGGATAAGTATCGCGTGCCTTGATTAAGCCTACTGTAGTAGCTTCACTGCAAAGAAGCAAATTAACATTTTGAGAGACTGCAACTTACAAAAAATACCAACAAGGTATCCAAACAACTTAAATACCTGCAAGAAGCATCACGGCATGCATATGCTGAGCGACCAAATAATTCAAATGGGAGAGAGAAGAACTCGTTGTAGATAAGCCCCGTGTAGATTGAGAAAAGTGACATTAGCAGAATCACATAACGCCCACCAAAAGTCATTTCCATGATGTCTCCAAGCTTCTGCAGTGACAAGATTCAAACAGATTCAAAGTGAGGATCAATCAAGAACATTAATAACCTTATAGAAAAACAAACAGCAACTTGAAAGTGAGGATCAAAAATGGCTATGATACTTCCCTAGAAACACACAACAGGAATATTAATGCTCACGAATTTTAGTTGAGTTACAAAGAGTTTGGACAGAAAAATAGACTGCTGCTATTAGGATGTGCAAATGTGAAAAGTCAGAAGAATTTTCTACAGGATGACCAGATGGATACTGGATATTTTAATCTCCCAGAAGCGTGGGAGCCCATTCACAAGAAAAGGATAATTCCTATGAAAAATGCAATCATAGTTGCACATCAAAAAGCTAGATTCTAACATATCTCACCATCTAAAATATTGCAGCTACTTACTTCAGGGGAAAAACATCCATGCCATGGATGTTTTGATTTTTTTGAGGGATACTTGATCAATTTAACTACCAACACTTTTACTATACTAACCTATATGCATATACAAGGAAAGTTCCTTTAATTGAAACAACCACAGTTATCGAAGATCTGTTCAAACATATGCTGGGTAAACACTGAGCAAAAACCATTTTCTTCTTGTTTTCTGCGGTGTTTTCATGTGGTCAAGGTAAAGTTTTGTTTTAGAAAAAGAGAGAGAAGAAGCAGCAGTCAAGTAGCATTAGCAATGCATGTTCATGCAAACAATTTAGATTCTCCCTAGGGAAAAAAAATGCAGTCACATGCAAGCCCCAAAGAGAGGTTGCAACACTTGGGTCAAGAGACGAGCTTAAGAGTCAACCAGCAGATCTTGGAAAAGCTCAGCACCAGTTGCTATGACAATGCTATCTACAAGGGCCAGAATCCACTAATGGTTTTCAAGATGAGAAGAAAACAGGTATGATAATAGAGGTCTAAGAACAACAACATCAGCAGCCTCCACACTTTGGGTCATCATTATTTCTTTCAAAAACATGCATTTAAGCCAACATGGGGACCCAGCAGCCTCACTTTTGTCATAAATAGCTTCATATACCAAAAGTATAAGAAACTAGAGAAAGAATGTTCTATCTATTTCACAAGCAGCAAAAATACATTCACAAGCCAGTATTAGCTAGCCCTCACAAAATGTTAGTTTAAAGTTTAAGGTACAGTTTTCTGTGCTCCACGAAGCAAGGAAAGGCCACCTTTTCAGCTTAACCACAACCAGTAATGTGGTCATACCCAAATTTAAATATAAATGCAGGACTAAGAAACTCAAGTTCCAAAAGAAACCATTATATTATTAAAGATGTTACTTGAACATTAGCCGGTGGGCCTTGCACAACCAGGAAAATGCTTACCTCACTGGAGTATTTCCGCTCCCGAATTATTAAGAATAATGTTGTAACCAACAGGCATATACCATGACCCCAGTCACCAAACATGACCGCAAAAAGGAAGGGGAATGTGACAATGGTGAATACCCCAGGATTTGCTTCTTGATACTTAGCCACACTGGGAAAAGGCAAATAAAGCAGCGAATATCTCAGCTCATATCCAATAGATAGAAAAAATGGAGACTGACAAGGGAATATTCATTTTAAAAAATGAAAGAATAATATATAAGGCTTAAAAGATTTATGCATAGACGGGGCAGATACAGAAGCAACTAATGGACACATCTCAAGGGTATGGAAGCAAACTAGACATACAGAGTATCTATTTTTTTTCCCTCAAAGAACTTTGCTCAGGTGAATGTCCAAAAATATGGACCCTTTCTTTTATTTACCTTAACCAAGGGTAGATTCAGCCAATGCCTGAAGCCTTCACAATTTTGAAGAGGTGGGTAATATCATACAGATAAACCAATTTTAACAAATTCTTCATTTAAATCTCGTACTCTTCTATCTACCGACACTTTGTTCCCTCTTTAGTCTGTCATATTTTGTTTTATTATTATTGTGCCATTTCTTAAAGCATAACTAACAAATATTTCATTTTACAAGGACGTAAAAGGGACCTTTGAAAGGCTGGGATGAAAGAAAATTACTCATCACTGCCAAGTACAGAATAGAGAGTACTATAGCAGGTTTATGACATTTTCCGTCTCACATCTTCTAGATGGAGTGTTTTTATTACCAGTTTCTTATATATGAAGTCTACAAACTTGACAATTCAAAAGAGACTTTTCCAGTAATTAAATATTATCCAATGGATGAAAATTGTAAAACTTATAACCCCCAGAACTGAATTAACTTCAAGTCCAAAAGAAATTGCCAAACGGTAATTTTCATTTGCTTCAAATCACTTATTTCTCTTAAGACATATTTTTGCTATTTTCGGTTCAACAAAAGCAGTAGGAAAAAGCTTCTGCATTCTGAAGCTTTTGAGATAAAATAGCTTTTCAAATTTCTAAACAACTTTTTAGAAAAACTTTCAAGACAGTCACAGCAAACAAGCATGTCCCATTTGTGTAACAACACATGTTCCATACATTGAATCCATACCCCTTTATAGTTTTGCTGAATTACTTAGTCAAAATGATATAAAAGTAAAACTAACCCATATGCATCGACAATCTCTTGAAATGCAGAAGTAACTTTATTTGTTCGAAAATATGTAGGAGGTGCCTCTCGAGTATGCAAAACCCAAAATATGGCACCAACTTGTGAATTGGAATCATATGTTGCCCGTTGCAGTGCATCCTGTATCTGCATGAATCACATTCACAATGTAATAACTCGATATCTTATATAAACACAGAAGAGTGCACAAGCTACACAACCAAAATTGTTGTAATTTATGAACTGCCAGCACATGTCATACACCACACCGACCTGGCCCACATCGCCACATCACAAAATCCAATTGCAGAATCAAAAAGTCAAGACAGAATTACCTGTTTTGTTGCAAAAATTGGGCTCCAACCTTCAGCCACCAGACACTTCTTAGTTACGTCAAAGCTAAGCATGTTAAGTGTATGGTAAATGGATTTCTCCCTCCTCACCTGCAGGAGTTACAAACTGGTAAGCTAAAAAGGGAAAATCTTTTCTCGCTTGTTAGCTAATGCTAATGACAAATACATAGACAAGCACGTGACTTGGTACTCAATCAGAAAACAATTGCATTAGATACAACTATTAAGATGACACACCAAAAGGTTCCATTGCTCAAACTGTTCTCCAATAGATTGCAATAAATTTCCACGGTGCACCAGTCCAGCATCTATTGTGGTCTTCAGCTCCAAAAGTCTTCCTGAAACCTGATACGCAAAAGAACAACATAAACAGCATATTCCAAAACTTATTGATAGAAAACAAGTGGTTCAACCCCAAACAAAAAAAGTGAAACCAGACAAAGCTATATACTTTTTCTAGAAGTCATTAGTACTCAATCACCAATCAGAACCAACAAAAGATGATGCTGCTCTTTCCCAGAAGTCAATTTTAAATTTTGGAAAAGAAAAGCTGATTGTTGAATTAGTAAAAACTATTAAATATTCTCGGCTAAATCACAAAAGAGAATCTATTAAAACTGCTAAAGTTGATGTCTGTCACTTTCAATAGTTTACAATATAATTCTGAACCACTAAATCCTGCACATCCAGCGAGGAAAAGCTGCAAGTGAAGAATTCAGACCTTAAATATTCTCCAGCAACAAGTTAGAAGAAAAGAAACTTTATTACTGATTAGTAACAACACGTTATTTTTTCACATCTTTCAATACGAAAGAGCAAATGAAACAACTAAAGAGGATGTTTGACACTTTGATGAGCTTACAAAATTTTGAACCACTGGCCCGCACATCCAGCAAGAAAGAAAGTTTTAACTGTCGAATTTGATCATCTCCAGATATATTAGTGGAAAACAAGCAACCACTTGCTTTTCATATCTTTCAATACAGTAAACCAGACGCAGCTGCAAGAGATATAATCATGGTATCCACACTTGCCCAGTTTTTCATCTTTCATAATTTTCAGTCAGCATCACGTGTTGAAGTCAAGAATCAAAAGGCAACAAAGGAATCTAACATATGTAGATCAAGAAAGAGAGAAAAAATAATAATAAAGACCTATATCTCCACACCCACTAATGAATGACGTACAGAGAAGAGATTGAAATATTTGGCCAGACAGGTATTCTCATTTGGAGAAATTGACAAGAATGTACACTATCTGGTTTACTTGAGACATTTGAGATCAACAGACTTCACAAATTGTTTAACATAGTGATGATGGAATACCAAATACCTAATTCTTCAACCAAAGGTGAACCAACCAAAACTTTTCAAACATGTGCCAATGAAGTGGCAAAAGCTCTAATAAGAAAACCAATAGCTTGTTGTTATTGCTCAATGTATATTAAACCATTTTCTAAACCCTCCACCACCCTAAAAATATAATATAAACAACTCAGTTGTGCCAGTTGAGTATATCATCGAAGCGAATCTCAACCAACTTCCGAAGTCAATATTTCGCAATCAAAGGATAAAGACATCCACAAGATTAACCAGAAAAACCTAAACATACAAAAGAAGGTACATGCTCACAGACAAATGAATGATTTATACAATCTTGCATGTGGTTTACAAGGCAAGTGCTCACAGACAAATGAACGATTTAAACAAAGTCTAAGCTAGACTTTCTTCTAAACAGTTATGTAATTTAAAATAACTGAAAACCAGTGAAACAGCCTGGATATTGTTGGACAGGTGACAGCAGACCTCGAAATTTTAACTAGTACCTCGGTAATTGCTTGAGCCTGTTTGCTTAAGTCTTCATTGAATGGGTAACGATTAGCCCCAAATGCTTCACATATTTTAAGAATCTTGTTCTTGGCCCTTTCTCCAGAAAAAAATACAACAAACACATTCTTCTCAACCTACACAATCATAATCGACAATCAAAGATGATACACAAGTATGATAAGTGAAAATACAAAAGTGGGTCATAAATTGCTTAAATGCAAGTTCTTTGCATGAAGACTCATTGATGATCCAAGAGGAAAGAAAGATTAAGCTAGTAACAGGCTTAGAAGACTGCTACAAGCATGCATAGGAATAAACACCACTCATCCTGATCAATGAAACTGCCTGGACATATCGCAAAACCCTATTTACCAGCTCCGCAGGGGACAAAAAGAGGAAAATGCAGAAGAAAAGTAAACGCAAGTTCAAATTCATTGTCCCATAAGAAAGGAAATGGCAAAGAAAAGTAAAACTTAAGAGATATTATATCCCTCCAGCCTCCAGGCCCAACTTTTCTTCCCACCCAGATAGCAGGGGTAAGAGGAGGTGAAACACAGACAACTATAAGGATCATATTCTGTACTTCAAAATCAAAAAGAAAATTAACAAGTGGAAAGACAAGTACATGTGGACCTCTCTAGCCTTTTCCGCCTTCCTTGAACCACACAAAAATGACTTTAATGATCATCACTCACTCAGACGAAGAGTTTCTCCATCTTATGCTCTCTCCACTTTTATGTCAGCATGAGACTAATTTTAAAGACATTGTTTATCTGTCTGTATACATAAATAGGAGTGGTGGTGCATACCTTCTCTCCCGAAAGAGGATCAGTGACAAGCTCCTCAACTACTGCTTGTCTCAGAAACACATTACCCCTGGTAGCACGGAATATAATCCTCTCAAATGCCATGGATTTCTCTCTAGGAACAAGTCCAGAGATAGACCCCAACTTAACTTGCTTGGATGGGTCTGTTACAGTTTCCTATATGAAACGGGACCAAATGGAGTTAGGTTAGTTATGGAAGAAGCCAGATATTTACACAATGGTAGTCTTCAGTAGTCATTTTGCACCTGATCTGCTAAAAGAGGAGTTTCTAAGGATTCTTCAGCACTCTGACTTGATGCATACTCCCTTTGTTGTGCTTCGGCACTTCTTTGAGCAGACTGAAAAAATTCACCAGCCTGAGGAGGACAATAACATTTATGTTAGTTAATGCAAGCAAGCTCATCATGTAAACAACAAACTGTCTGTTGTAAGGCTCCAGATCCACTGAAGCTGAGTTAAAATTTATTCCCCCAGCAGAAAATAAGAATTTGTGTCCCAAGCATCACTAGCATCCAACCACTACAGCCATCTTAATTCACATGTTGTATCAATCATGAAGTTACAGATTAGTGTACATATAAACATACATATATAGCATTCACGATTTTTTCTTTTCCAACTACCATTTTTGCTCAACTCTCTTAAAGCAGAAGAGCATATATATACATACATACAAAGCAATCAAAAAATTTAAGTGCATTCATATGAAAGAGTTAGTGTTATAACCTACATATTGATGAATTAGACATTCAAAGACAACCAAATCAATGTTATATAAGAACTCAAACCCATTATTTTACGAGCCTTTCATGTCAATTTTACGAAGTAACTTCTACAGTACCATTAACAAGTAGGCTCTGCCCAAGCTTTCAAAATTCTAACAAACAAACTTGGGCATTCTTGCACCACTTCGATACATTATTTTGATGGATTCAAACAGTACAAAGGATAATGACCAGCTACTACTATCTAAAGAGGGACAACTATAATAACAAGATCTACCTTCTGCAACACAAGCTTATACTCTACTAGTTCATTATAGGAGCGCTGCAACTTTTCACTGTTCGCATTAATTTCAACTAGCTCAGCTTCAAGTTCCCCAAGCTTTATCTGGCAATATAGTGAAAGAAACACAGTTAGCATGCTTCAAACTAAAAGAACTCAAGGGTCGGTAGACATTTAGAGTACCTCCAAATCATCCAGATTGAGAACAGCTTCCGATACAGATCCAGTAGGAAGTGACAGTCCTGCCCTTGAAATTTGATCCCTGAAAAATCGTAATTTGCGAGCCATCTCTCCACATCTTCTTATCTGTCCATGAACTCAAATTAGTATGTGGCAGCAATGATTTAGAAGCAATTGAGTTTGATGTAACATAATTAAATAACTGTATCCAAAAAAAAAAAAAAGGGAGTGTTTATCACCATAGCTGTAGTTGTCTAGGTAAGTACAGCAATTAGGATAACGATCAGATTGTGATGCAATTATAGTCATTACACAATCTACAACAAAACTCCAAACATTATCATTCATTTTCTTGCAATTATGACATCTATCATGTGAATAAGCACAAACACCTTGCAATAAAATGCATGGAAGTCATGTTCCATAAGTAACAAACATGTACCTGAGTTGCATATGTCCGCTGGAATGGGCTCTTTTCAGCATTCAGCTGATAGCACCAAATATAGGAAAACATCAGTATAGGTATCCAACAAATATAAAAATTCAAAAGCATTCACGAACCAAAAAGCTCTGCACTTGCTCTACATTTAAACTTATCATTTTTTGATCAAATCAAGCAAAATCAGTTCAATCAACAGGAAAACTGAAAAACTGTGAGCATTTGCACAGTGCTAATACGCTAGCAAGGCCTGATTTCATTGTTTTGCAATAAAATCCTAGTTAGACCTATTACTAGGCTAAAAAACAGAGAAGAAAAGATCAAATAATCTTCCTCCCGATGAATGAACATCTCAACTCCGTCGCCGTTCTGCGATGCCTACTATTGGTACGATTTTCAACGTTGAATAGTAGAAAACTCAGCAAGAGACAACTAATTTGACAATCTTCGGAAGAGAAACCCTAACTGAACAACATCGGCAATTTTGCAATCTTCAAAAATCCAATCAGCTCTGCTTTTGACTGATAATATCAACAATTATCTAAGTCTGTGCTAGTAAATGCAAATCGTATAGCAATTCAGGGGGGAAAAAGGGTAGCATTACGGACGTCTTTAAATTGAACAAGCCCGAGTTCGCCGAGGTAATCTACGGTGAGGTGAGCGGACTCGGCGGGGATGATAAGTTGGACCAGCTGCATCGGCTCTGACCTCATCAGATCCATTGGCGGGCAACATCCTCCTCCTCCACGCCGCTCTGCCATCTTCTACACCCCCTTCCCGATTCTTCTCTCTGTCTCTCTCTATCTTCCTGTCCCTCTGTTTCCCCGAGTCCTTGTCATAAAATTACACCCCGACTCTATATGTATGCAGTCCCCCACTTATCTTTCTTTCTCTCTCCGTCGTAACGGAGCTGTAACAGATTCAATCACAGTATTTCTTTACCGCCTTCAGTAATCTTCCACTTCATTTATTGCATTCCAATATTCAGATTATTGCATTAGTATCTATCTAATCTTTCATTATTGTTATTATAAGATGCCCACTGATCTTTCGCTCTTGTGAGAACACGCCCTAAACTTTTGCTGGCTAATTCTGTGCACCCTTTAACTATAACCGAATTTTCACTTTGATTCCTAAACTTCAAAATGGGATGATTTAGTCCCTAAATTATAAAATTTACTGTACCTAAATCCCTAAAATATAGAACTCGTCCATTTTAATTCCTAAAGTATAAAATTATATCCCAATTTAATCCCTAATATACACCCTTTGTAAATATAAAATCTGTCTCACTTTTTTAATAATATTACTTAAGTAGGACAAATTTCAGAATAAAAAAAAGTGGGATAAATTTTATAAGCGAGGGATTAAGGTGTCCCATTTTTTAAGTTTAAGGTCTAAAACGAAAATTTAGGTATGGTTAAAGGGGTGGAATGTGGAATTAACCCACTAATCTGTTAAACTTATTGAATTTGGCTTACGATCCGATATTTAGTGTTTTACGGATACATTTGTCACCATTTCCAAATTAGTATTTGTATTTATCGAACAAATGAATACAACCTACGTCTCACCTATTTTTAAAAGATAGATGAGAACTCTCTTAGTCTTTTTGCTATCAGTGTCTTTTGGCCAATTCATCAGGAGGATGTTGCAGCCATATTTCAAAAGACGGACAAGGACAACTCTGGTGCTCTTACGGTCAAAGAATTTCAAAAAGTCCTTGATGACATATGTGAGAGATATCCTCCGCTAGAACTATGTTTGAAAAATAAGCAGATGCATAGTCTAGTTGATCTTTTGAAAGATTCAAAAGGGGATGATGTAAAAGAATCCGTTGAGGTGAACATTGAAGAATTTAAATCGGCTATCTCCCAAGTTGATTCTCAGATGAAGAATCTTCTTACAACTGCCCAGGTTTGTTAACTATGATGTCCAAATTTGGTCAATCGTATCATGCGAGTTACAGGAAGCAATATTTTTTTAGGATATTTTTACAGGTTGCATCTCAGCAAGGTGTCTATCTTGCCTATTGTTTCAATCGGATGAAGGAGGTTGAGACAAATCCAGAAGGTCCTCTTAGGTTTAGGGGAGAAGGACGCCATCGTTTTCGCCCTTTCAGGTATCAGGGGAACCTTTAGTTAGATATCTTCTGTATCCCCACTCATTAACAGTTCCACTCTTCTGACACCTACTAATGCAATTTGGAGAATAAGATGAAGTTGGAGATTAAAAAATCTTCTTTTCGAATGCAATTTGAGAATGTTAGCTTGTTTGGAGGTAGTTTATTCTACCAGATGATAAGAGATTCTTAAGAAACACCATATAAGGATGATACTTGGATCAGAAGAAAAAACTTTGTCTGTATAGAGTTGGCAAAGATAGAAATCTATTGAAAAGTTGCAAGGTTGTTGCATGAGCAGCTTGTAGATTTCTTACTTGTGCAATGTACTTTGATGCTTGTTTCAGGTACCAGCATGTTGGACAATTTGCTCCTTTAAGAGGTGAACAAACAGCTGCCCAAGTTCCAGGAAATTAAGTTTCAATTGGGCAAAGCACCCAGTGGCTCTGGTACTCAGTTTATGCAAGGTTTGCTACTCAATTCCTCTTCACTTCACCTACTATAAGGTCCTTTGAACTTGCAAGATCTTGCAATTGATACATGTCCACGTACTGTTATACTTATGATTCATTTGGTTACTATCTTTGAATTGTCAGCAAGCAAGTCAGTTGGCGTACAAGGGCATTGGTTGTATCAGATTGGATGAGGCGTTTCATTTTTGGCAGGGACTCCAGCAACCTTTGAGAGAGCAAGGCTTCATTTTCTGCTTTCATTAACTCTACAGGCTTTGACGGAAATTTTGCAATTAATCTATCTCAAATTTTTCTCCCAATTGTCTTAAGCAACTTGGTGTCAATTGTTTTGGAACAAAGGCATTAGAGATCACAATTTTTGCAGCTAGTTTTGGTGTTAAATCTAAATGTTGGTTTATAGGGGGTACGTAATCTCCTTGGTTTGTTACAAAAGCAGCGGAGGAACCAAAAGGCGACAAAGCGGGTGTTTTTACCAAGAGATATATTGACTAAACGGCGTTATTGTTTCCGTTTAATTGGTTTCATGCTTTTGCTTGCTTATTATACTCGATACGTGCATGATGCATTGCTTTTCCAAGTTCGGGTCCTGTGCAAGAGAATTCAAATGACCATAAGCGATATAGATAAAAGAAGGCTGCGATTATTGATTGGGGCAAAAAAGAACGATTCATCTCTCGTAAGTTAACCTCAGTTTAGTGAAGGTGAAGGTTGTTGAAAAGTCAAGACATCCGTTATCTATAAATTTGTTGAAATTGCAACAGTTGGATGGGAATGTCGTTCTATTTCAGGAACATTTCTCTGTGGCGACCCCACTTCCCCCTAAGGCGAACCAGAGGGTTGGCGGGCCGTCTGCCTAACTCTCGCCAGGACTCACGCAAGCAATCTAGCCCAAAACCTTCCGAAGAATAACTTAAACTATTACATTAACGAATCTCCCAAAATAGACCAATTGTTAAGGCCACATTAACTTCAGAGATAACAGCATTTGAAGATAGCCAATCGACGGCTCTTAGACACCTCACGCGTAACTTACAAGAAATAAAGTCGTACAATCCCAAATACATATAAATTCATACAACTCAGATATATACATACAAACCAGATATCAGAATTAGGGTTTACACTTTTCCAGCTTCAAGCGGCAACCTAAAACAAAGGTACATTGTTTGATTCGAAATACATTACAAACCGCTAAGCGAAGTCATAAAGTTCAACTACATTCATAAGAAAAATATAAGCAGGCTCAGATTTCTCAAATACCAAGACCTGTTAAGGAAAACAAATAAACGTGGGGTGAGTTATAGCTCAGTGGTGCCCCAAAACATGCAATCAAATAAAACAAATAATACGTATTGATTTCAACTAAAGTAAACAAATAGGAAAGCGTGTAACAGCACAAGATAGGATACATGAGCTCTCAGGAGCCATTTCTTCACGAGTTTGATCAAAATTTTCCGTAGACGACCCTTCGTCAACTTTCACTACCTAAGGTCCATGTAGATCTTTTTATTTTTCTTAACTCCGGCCACCAATCATACCCCTTTATTGGGCCCGAACGCCAAACACGATAGTGGTAATACTCGAGTATACCTTAGGGACTGGTCGAGAAATTCATCCAACGACGTTACGTCCAATACGAGATTAGGGACTAATCGAGAAATTCATCCAACGACGTTACGTCCAACACGAGATTAGGGACTAGTTGAGGAATTCATCCAACGACGTTACGTCAAACACAAGATTACCAGGTCAGGGTAAGAGTCCTTTTCACCCTGAAGGTGTAGTACACTCCCCTGCCTAGTGATTAACAAGTGCAAGCAAGTATTCATGAAAACATTTCAAACAAGCCACCACTCGAACGACTAGTGTGATAAAGTACACACCGCTCACTTCGATGGATCAGAAACCATTTTCTTCCCAAATGTCACATATCAAGTCAAGAAAGCGCTTTAATCACGTAAGTATAGAACAAGCAGGGACGCTCACCAAGAGTGGAGTCACCAGCCAAGCTGGGAATCAAAATCTGCGTCCTCGCTAAATCCTAGAAAACCAAGTTTTAAGAACTATAAGTTTTCTATCCAAGTTCTAGGTTTATAAATATAAAAGATTCTCTAGTATATAAATAGTTTATTTTTTCGAAGTAACTCAACCATTCTTTTGAAATTAAAACTAGTAAAAGTGATAAAACATTCCGTATGGTTTCTTTTAAAAGAAATACTTTCTTTCTAGAGAAGCAAATAGAACTTATTTATGTCAAATGAGTTTTCTTATCGAACAAGTTTTCTACGCCTTTTGTTTAAAATTATTAAAATCTCGCGTTTGTAATGAGTTTCTCAAAAACAACTAGTCAGGGACAAATTTTAAGGAAAGAAAAGAAAATAAAATAATACCTAGGATTTTAAAAACAAGTGAAATCATTTCCTAAAAATAATAAAGCTAATTTAAGCCAGGAGAAGAAATAACTGGTCGACAATGTATTTCAAATCCCGAATTTCTCACGTGATCGTACAAGATGAATTTTTGTAGTTTAATACATAGAGTAAAATATATTCACGTAACCCGATTTGAAAATATTCATGTTCACGGGGTCAAAACGAACTTTTCAGATTCCGATTCACAAGCACATTATGTCTCAGATTTGCCAATATAGCAAAATCACATTTCAAACAGCAATATCACTAGGGTTTCGTCAATCATTAGCCCTAGGTTTCAACAGATTCATTTCTGATCAAAAATAAAACAAATGACCAAGGTTTCGTCAATCATTAGCCTCAAGCATCCAACAATAATTTCTTATAGCAATTTAGCCAAAAATTTAACTGTTTAGAATCACTAACAGGTACATGAACACAGGGACAAAATTTGCAACACTATCTTATCCAAGATTTCAACCAAAATCTCATTGTTTGTAACCAAATACAGATTAAATATTTTCCAGCAATTTTTATTCCAAAATATCCATTCCAATGCCAAGAATTTCATCTCAACATTTTAGTCATAATAAAAATCAAATTATCAATCGTATCAGAAGTTTCACATCTACGTGGCTTACTAGGCTTAAAGCACACATTGCTCATGCATTTCTAAACCGTTATATTCCACGGAAAAAAAATTCCAGAAACAAGTTAAAATTTCCAAAAACAAACTGAAAATTCCTGCTCAAACCTCTCGGCTATCAAGAATTTTCCAACACTTAGGTGTTCATAAATCCAATTTTTCCTCGGCTGAAACATGGTTTTAGATACTCAAATTCGTCATGCAAACATTTAGCTAGCTAATTAAGATTTCCAGTTCAAAACCAGATTCAAA